GCAGCATGATACCATGGTCGATGGTATCAAAAGCCGCTGAGAGATCTAACAGGACCAGGACAGAGGAGCACCCCCTGTCCCGAGCCCTCCAGAGATCATCAACCAACGCGACCAATGCCGTTTCCGTGCTGTACCCGGGCCTGAAGCCCGACTGGAACGGATCCAGATACGTCGTTTCATCCAGGTGCTGGGGGAGCTGTTGCGCAACCACACTCTCAACAACCTTCGCCACAAAACGAAGGTTGGAGACCGGACGATAATTTACCAACATTGCCGGGTCCAGGGAAGGCTTCTTGAGGAGAGGCCTCACCACCGCCTCTTTCAAGGCGGCAGGAAAGACACCCTCACCCAACGAAGCATTTATAATCCCCTGGAACCAGCCTCGTGTCACCTCCCGAGAAGCCAGCACTAACCAGGAGGGACACGGGTCCAATAAACAGGTGGTCGCGTTCAGTCTACCCAGAATCCTGTCCACGTCCTCAGGGGTCACAGGATCAAACTCATCCCAGATAACATTCTCAAGACCTGCCCCAGTCCCTCCCCCTGAGACTACCCAGTCGGAGTCCAGATCTTCCCGAATCTGAGTGATTTTGTCATACAGATACTGAACAAAATCCTCGGCTCTACCCTCCAAGGGGTCCTCCCGCGCTTCCTGGTGGAGCAGGGAGCGGGTCACCCTAAACAGGGCGGCCGGGCGATTATCTGATGACGCAATAAGAGCAGCAAAATAGTTACATTTCGCTGCTTTTATTGCCACTAGGTAATTCCTAATATGAGATCTTACCAGTGTCCGGTCAGATTCAGAAAGACTGGCCCTCCAACTGCTCTCTAGGCATCTTTTCCGGCGCTTCAACTCCCTCAGCTCCTCAGTGAACCAAGGAGCTAAATGAGATCGGCGCCGGGTCAGAGGCCGCAAAGGCACGACTCGGTCCAGAGCTCCAGCAGCCGCCCTATCCCAGGCGGCCACTAGGTCTCCAGTCGAGGCGTGTGCCAGAGCCTCAGGGAATGGCCCAAGCTCCATCTGGAACCTGTCAGGTTCCATCAGGCGCCTGGGGCGGAACCATCTTACTGGCTCCGCCTCCCTGCGGCGGGGTGTAGCGGTTCGAAGGTCGAGACAAAGGAGAGAGTGATCAGACCATGACAAGGGCTTGATGACTATATCCCCTATCTCGAGATCACTCAACCACTGTCCAGAGACAAAAACCAGATCCAGCGTGTTTCCCCCCGTGTGGGTAGGGTCATGAATTAACTGGGTCAGGTCCATGGCTGTCATGGAAGCCATGAACTCCTGAGCCACCTCTGACGCCTCACCCACGGACGGCAGGTTGAAATCCCCCATGACCATAAGCCTAGGGGTATCAACCGCCACCGCGGCGATGACGTTGAGTAGCTCAGGCAGGGCTGCTGCCACGTGGCAGGGAGCCAGGTACGTGATCAGCAAACCCCTCTGAACCCCGTGACCCCATTTCACAAGGAGGGATTCACAGCCGGCCGTCTGAGGAACAGTGGCCTCCCTCGGTCTCAGGCCTTCTTTAATGATAACCGCTACCCCCCCGCCCCTCCCCTGTGACCTTGGCTGATGGAATGCGTGGAAACCTGGTGGGCACATTTCAACGAGGGGAACCCCCCCTCCTGGCCCAACCAGGTCTCCGTAATACCTGCCAGGTCCGCACCCCCCTCCTGAATAAGATCACAAATGAGGGGGGCTTTATTTACTACGGACCTGGCATTGCACAGCATCAGCCGAAGGCCTGGGCCCTGAGGGTCTATGCAACCTGGAGAACGGGTGGAGCCTAGGGGGCCGGAGCATGCCACCGCTCGTAGACAGCGGGTGCGCGCTCCCCTAACATGATATGGCCCCCTGCTCCCGCCATATCTACCCCTCCCACTCACAGTACTGATGTTTGAAACACTATCCGGATGAGCTCTAACACCCCCCTCGACCCCAGGTCCCCCACCCCCCCCGCCGCACTTCGAGGCCAGACCGAACCCTCCCCCTTGTGGGTTTTCCCCCAAACCCACAACCCGAGTTCTAATTCGACCCTCCCCCTCCCTGGGACCCCTTAAAAGTTTAATTAAAAAATTTGATAAAAAACCCCACAACCCCCTGGTTTTCACATGCCACCTCTCTGGGTCCCAAAACCCATCCTTGAGGTAGGCTCTTGATAATGTGGAGGGCCAGATCTGCGAGAGGGGGGAATATCGCAGCGCAAGAAGTTCATAGGTAGTATACATCTTAGGTTACAGCGAGGGAGGCGAAGATCATAATCAGGGGTCCATTTGGTAATCCCAAAATCAGATGTAACACACAGCCATGCGGCTCCACCGGTAAATACACTGTCCTCTCACGACAGTTTGAGGGGTCTTTCACAGTTTCAGCCAACGGAGAATGACATCCAGCCCGCCCTCTCACGGCGGGAGGCCCTTAAATAGCCCAAGAGATAGAAATGCTCCATCCAACCGGTGGTGAATTCATGATGTAAAAAGACGACCCCCTCAGTGGTTGCCACAATGGATTGTCCCAAGGTTGGAGAGAATGATTTATAGTTTAGTCAGTTAGTTCATCCGGGGGTTAAGATGACAGTCCCTGCTCTTTATAGTCGCACCAATAGAATAGTTCCAGTAGGAGACACAAAAACATACGGGGGAAGGGGAGGGGAGGGGGGGAGAAACCCCTTTCCCTGGGGCCCTTGACGGCAACATGACATGGCAAGTTTGACACTCGTGCTTTAAGACAAGATTGGCCAGCCATTTGTCTGGAATGTTATAGGGTATCCTGCCTGAGAAGGAGATTGGACTAGAAGACCTCCAAGGTCCCTTCTGACTCATAACCTATTCTGTTACGGGCTTGCTATTCCCTTGGCAACCAAATTGCACTGATTCTGCCACTAGTCTTTTTCTGGGGTTTATGTTTTTTAACTTCCAGGTCTTGCCAAAAGCACGGTATTTCTACTGACCGTATTTTTCGGACTATAAGACGCACCTGACTATAAGACGCACCTAAATTTAGAAGAGGAAAACAATAAAAAAAGGTTTTGGCCTACCTTTTTTCAGGCCGTTTCCAGCCTTTTTTCGGTCTTTTTCTGGGGCTATTTTCAGCCCATTTTTGAGTGCTTTTTTCAGCTCGTCTTTGAGGCTTTTTTCGGCTTGTTTCTGGGGCTTTTTTCCCTGTTTTTGAGGCTCCCCCCCCCGTTTTTGAGGTTTTTGGGGGGCTGTTTTTGACGCTTTTTGGCCCGTTTGTGAGGTTTTTGGGGGTATTGAGGCTTTTTTTGGCCTGCTTTTGGGGGGCTGTTTTGACGCTTTTTTGGTCAATTTTTGAGGCTTTTCTGTCCCGTTTTTGAGGCTTTTTTTCTGGCTCGTTTTTGAAGCTTTTTTTGGCCTGTTTTTCTGAAAAAACGTTCCTGTGGTTATGAAGGTGCAGGAAAAGGAGAGACACCAACTTGGGTTCTGCCAACCATTGCACATTTATGATGGCTGCAGCATCCCACACTCAGGATCCCCGTTTGTGACCTTCTCAGCTAGATTCTGAAGCAAAATTAGTAGGGATGCCAGCAGGAAATTGCAAGTGGCAGTTTGTGGAACAGATGCAAGTTGGCACTGTCATGTGACATCATGCTTCATGACCGGCTGCTTAGTGACACAGAAGCCAGTCCCAACTGCACTCAGTAAGTCAGGATTGCTTGAATTGGGTTGTCACCAGAAGGGGTTGTAGACAGCATTTTCTTCTCTTATTTGCAGCTGAGGACTTTCATGAGCAAAACTGGTGCTTCAAATCTTGCAGAGGCTTTCGGCATCATTTCCTCAGTTCAAACGCCACATCTCTAAATTTAGCTCACAAGGTTTGACATTAACTATTTTGGGACATTTTGTCAGGCTGAAAACTCATGGAGCTTCCACATATATTCATTTGTAGGTGTTTGTATCTGTATTTCTTTCTATATGCATATATCTGCAATTATATAATCTATCCTCAGTACATAAAGATATATTTGAGGATAAGCCTTTTCAGTGCCAAGAATTTATGATTGACCCAAGTCAACAACATAATTTCATGGTTGAATAGATATCTTGGTACTCTTCCATGTGTCAAATGAATCATAATTAATGTAAGAGACTATTCTAGCATTGTGGCATGTTTGCTTTTTTGTTGTAATGTATACTTTTTTTTACATCTTCTGTAACCATTTTATGCACAATTAAAGTTACACTTTTCTTTGAAATTTATAGACAAAGAGGATGGCAAAAAGAGCACTCTGAACAACTGAGAATAACAAGCAACCTTGAAAAGGAAATAAAATTGAGCCAGAAATCAAAATATATTCCAGCTCCTTCAGAAAACCACACAATTCTCCTTCTCCAGCAGCTAATAGACAAAAGAGAGAAAATTAACATGAGATTTTGAGCTGGAAAAAGTAGAGGATACGAAACTCAAGGATACATTGCATGAAAGATCAAGGAAGAATATTTTTCATTCAGAAAAAGATGGAAATAGTTGGAAGTTAGGGGGAAGGAAAAGGTCTTATTGAGCAGGGCACATAGGACAGACAATGATACAGGCCTTGCTCTGTGAAGAAGCAAATGGTTTTAATCAAAACACTATTAAACAATAGATCACACATATTTTTGACCTCAAGAATATCAGTTGTGGAAAAGCTCCATAGATCTGCCTATTGTAGAAAAAACACAGATTGCAAATCATAGCTGATTAAACAAGAAGATCCCAACTGGAGAAAAGCCATACAATTATCTGAATATGGCAAAAGGTTGGTCAGAACAGCTTCCTTGTGGTTCATGGAACGACCCACACAGGAGAGAAGCCATGAGAGTGCTCCATATGTGAACACTTTAGTGAGCATAGCAACATGGTAATACATCACAGGACACCCATCACATAAGAATGTCCAAATTGTGTGAAAGTTTCATTGGAAATTACCACCTCATGAGACAACAAAGTACTCACATAGGAGAGAAACCCTTTGAATGCCCTATCTGTGGGAAAGGTTTCAGTCGCAATTCCAGCCTGGTGACACACCAGAGGACTCACACAGGAGAGAAACCCTTTGAATGTCCTGATTGTGGGAAAAGGTTCAGTAACAATTCCAATCTGGTGACACACCAGAGGACTCACACAGGAGAGAAACCGTTTGAATGTCCTGATTGTGGGAAAAACTTCAGTCTCAATTCCAGTCTGGTGAAACACCAGAGGACTCACACAGGAGAGAAACCATTTGAATGTCCTGATTGTGAGAAAAGTTTCAATCAGAATTCCAGTCTGGTGATACACCAGAGGACTCACACAGGAGAAAAACCCTTTCAATGTCCTGAGTGTGGGAAAAGTTTCAGTCAGAATTCCAGCCTGATGAAACACCAGAGGACTCACACAAGAGAGAAACCCTTTCAATGTCCTGATTGTGGGAAAAGGTTCAGTTACAATTACAGCCTGGTGACACACCAGAGGACTCATACAGGAGAGAAACCATTTGAATGTCCAGATTGTGGGAAACGTTTCAGGCACCATTATGAGCTGGTGATACATCAGAGGACTCATACAGGAGAGAAACCCTTTGAATGTTCTGATTGTGGGAAAAGTTTCAATAAACATTCCAATCTGGTGAAACACCAAAGGACTCACACAGGAGAGAAACCATTTGAATGTCCTGATTGTGGGAAAAGTTTCAGTCACAATTCCCATCTGGTGACACACCAGAGGACTCACACAGGAGAGAAACCGTTTGAATGTCCTGATTGTGGGAAAAGTTTCAGTTGCAATTACAGCCTGGTGATACACCAGAGGTCTCACACAGGAGAGAAACCATTTGAATGTCCTGATTGTGGGAAAAAGTTCAGTCGCCATTCCAGCCTGGTGACACACCAGAGGACTCACACAGGAGAGAAACCATTTGAATGTCCTGATTGTGGGAAAAGTTTCAGTCAGAATTCCCACCTGGTGACACACCAGAGGACTCACACAGGAGAGAAACCATTTGAATGTCCTGATTGTGGGAAAAGTTTCAGTCACAATTGCAGCCTGGTGACACACCAAAGGACTCACACAGGAGAGAAACCGTTTGAATGTCCTGATTGTGGGAAAAAGTTCAGTCGCCATTCCAGCCTGGTGACACACCAGAGGACTCACACAGGGGAGAAACCATTTGAATGTCCTGATTGTGAGAAAAGGTTCAGTCACAATTCCAGCCTGGTGGAACACCAGAGGACTCACACAGGAGAGAAACCATATGAGTGCCCCGACTGTGGGAAAGATTTCAGTACTAAGACTAGCCTTTTAAATTGTTTGCTTATACACACGGGAGAAACCATTTAAGTGCCCCAAGAGTGGACGGTGCTTCAGGAAGCATTCCACCCTTATTGCACACAAGAAAATGCACATGGATTTTCCAAAGTGATGAGTGATGACCTAAAGCAGTGGTTCCCAAAGTGAGCGGTTCCAAAATGGGGGGCGGTGGGATGACTTAGGGGGGCAGTAAGAGGCATGGGGGGCGGCAGGGGGGCACTGTAGGCAAAAGGGGATGGCAGGGGGGCGCTAAGTGGCAAGGAGGGTGGCGGAGGGTGGCCCCCACCCTTTGGCCTGTGCCTTGCAGCAGCTACCTCCTTGCAAGCAAGGAGGTAGCAAACAGCAAGAAAAAACAGCTCCTTTCAGCTTCAGCATAGGCTAATAACAGACGTTGATTAGATTGCCCTCCCGACTCTCTTAGCTGTTTTGCGCAGGGCTCTGCAGCTTGCTGGAAAGAGTGTTGGAGCAGATTTTTTTTTCTCTTGCGCTAATCAAGCTATGCTGAAAACGAAACAAAGTAAAGCAGGCTGTTTGCTGTTTGCTGCAAGAAAAAAGGAGGCAGAGGCAGAGGGAGATTTCTTTTTCTTCTTTTTCCTCACTAAAAAAGGTAGGTGCAAACCATGGGAAATTCAGGGCAAAAGAGGAGAGGTCAAGATTTTAAAACACAAAAGGAGAAAGAAAAAGGCAAAAATAAAAATGGGAAGTGAGAAAAAGAAAAATGAAAGAGAAAAATGTTATACATATTTAGAATTGAAATATGAATAGTAGTAAGAAATAAATGGGAAATCATGATTTTAAAAATGAAATGAATAATAATTGGAATATTTGTCTTTGTATTTTTGAAATCTAGACAACGATAAGTTTTTCTTTTTTTTAGAAATATGAATAAGTATAAACTGTAACAATTGAAATACCTTTAATGGTCTATGGCGGTGAAAGTAAAAAGGATTAAGTTGTAGCTTGGATAACATTGTTCTATTTTTCATTTAACAGCATTTTCACATATAATTTCTACAACTAGCATCCTTCTCTTTATTAACAAATTAACGTTTTCACTGACTCTTAACCATTTTCTCTTAGTTTCTCCACAGTTCTCTTTCTTTCTTTTTTTTTATTGAAAAGTTTTACAAAAAGTTTACATATTTCCCCCCCCTTCCCTGCCCCAACCTCCCCCCTCCCCCCTCCTCTTCCCAGAACAAATTACCTGGTATAACCTTCAACAATCATGATCAATCCTAATCTAAATACTTATAACATTCCACATCTCTTGTTCCTTCAATTCCCTAATTACCCCCCTAACTTGATTACTTAAAGACACACCAAATATCTATATAGTCATTCATAACCTATCTGCAATTTCTTATTCCGGTATTTATTTTGAATATAATCTATCCATCTTCTCCAGTCTCTTAAATATCTTTCATTTGAATGATCCTTCAAGTACGCCGAGATTTTTGCCATTTCCCCTAGGTTTGTAACTTTCATTGTCCACTCTTGGATTGTAGGTAAATCTTGCTTCTTCCAATATTGTGCCACCAACAGTCTTGCTGCAGTTATTAAATTCAAAATCAATTTAGTCTCTATAACTGTACAGTCCGTAACTATACCCCACAGTTCTCTTTCTTGATGTTTTTCTCCCTTTCTCCCATTTCTTTACCTTCTTCTTTTTCCTGTTCTTATATCTCCCCTTCAGTCTTTTCCCTTTAATTTTAACTCTATTACTTTTCATTCTCAATTTTTCCCCGTTTCTTTCTCTTTTCTTCATATTTGAGATGTATTTTCCCATATCCATTTTTATTCTATCACTATTGAACCCAGTGTAATCATCTATCTTTTTTTCCCAATTATTTCCTTTTCAATATTATCTCCTTGTTTCTCTTGCTTCTCATTCATCTTTTCTCTTTCATTTTTTTGCAAGCTAACCAATTCTCTGCTTCTTTATTTCCCTTAAATGCCTCCCTTACTTTTTGAAACATCTCCCTTAGTGTCTCATATTCATCCTCCCAATTCTCCATATTTTCAATTTTAAAAGGCTAGGATTTTTAAGCTTATTCTTTTCAGTTACATATGTGGGGGGGGATGCTTTTCAAGGAGCCACAAGGGGGGCTGAGAGTAGAGTTATTCTGACAGTGTCTTCTAAAATTGCTTGGAAGACCCATTTTTCCCTAACAATAATGGTTTGTATACTTTGGAATAAAACGTATACCTGGAAAAAGTACTTGCAAAACTTGGACAGAAGGAAAAGAAAGGCAGGACTGGACTCATTATCAGTAGCTAGTAGTTCATTGTTATCAGTGACTCCCACTGATTCTAAACTCATTTTAAGACTGGGATTGGTGACTACTGAAATATTCAACATTGGTCTCAGAAATCTTTGATTTGAACTATCAAATCTCTGATTTAAACTATCAAATCTCTGATTTGAAGTTTGATTTTAACTATCAAATCTTTGATTTGAACTCTGATTTGAACTATGCCAAGAAAAATCATAAATGGGGCAAAACTCACTTAACCATAATAATTTCTGGATATTTTAAATATAGAGAATTCAAGTGTTGAGAATGACCCATTATTTCATCTCTTTTTTCGCACTAGGTACCACTATTTGATTTCTTTTCCTTTTATTCAAATAACAACAGAAAACCCAATACAGTTCAGTATGAATTGGCTTTCCAGTCCTTCCTTGATGCACTTTTTCACATTGGTTATCTAGTTTAAATGCCAAAGGAAAATCAATGATATATTTTTCAGACCATTGGAGGATCACACTGCTCAAGCAAAATTAACAGGTGTGCATTAAGTTTTAGCTAAAAAATGGAGCTTTAATTCCAGAAGTCCATTCTTTAAACTTGGACTTCTGGAATTCAAAGGCTCTGGATTAAATGGTACTCCAGACAAAAGATGGAGAAGAGTATCTTGCTTTTAGACATGATAATAGCTGTCTAGAAAGGTGAGTTATGAGCTATTTTTACATCATCAGAAATTTAATTTATTACCTGTTAAAAATGCAAAGACAAGGAGTACAAGGAGCAAATAAAAGACCTTCATGTTGGGGTTGGTTCTGGACCAAATCTTACTTGTGGGGCGGAAACCAGCCCTCAGCCCTCCTTGTGACTTCTTGAAAAGAATTCCCCCCCACACACGCTCCACTGCCTGAGGAGGCAGGGGAGGGCTGCAGGTTGATCCCAAGAGGGTCTGGGAATGGGTGTGAATTCATCCCACAGCCCTCTCCATCCCCTCCTCTGTGAAATTGCTTTCTCCCACTCGCTGGTGGTCAGCAAATTCAAAAGGAACCCCCAGCTGAGAATCACTGCTCTAGATTGGTTGATTCAGGGGATTTCTCTAGCGTTAACTAATAGTGTTAGTTATCTTTGTTTCAGGGATAAATTTGTATTGGAGCAGCCTGCAGACCTCCCAAAGGGTCTCTGCACACTGTTTTTGCCAAAAACGGGCCCGTTTTTCACAAAAATGGGACATGCGGGGCAAGGCTTCAGGAGGCCAAAAATGTCTGTATTCCGTGTATTTTATTGTTACTGTCTTCCTTAGTGGGTCATGCAAACCGCTATTCCGAACAATGCTATTTATAGGGGGTGGGGGTGGGGGCAGTGGTGGGCAGTAAAACTGGCAGGAGGCCCCGCCCACCGACCCCAACATCACCAAAACGCTTCTGTGCATGTGCAGAAGAGTGCGTGCATGCGTGAGCGAAGTGAGCATTCGAGGCCCCACTGCTAACCGGTAGTAAAGGTAAGTAGAACCCACCCCTGGGTGGGGGGAACTGAGGGTGAGTTTGTAGTATCAAGGGGGCGGTGGACTGAAAAAGTTTGGGAACCTCTGACCTAAAGTGATGAGTGTAAAGGCTTGAATTTTAAGTCCAGCTGAGAAATTAACTCTTCAATTTGACCAGAAAGAATTTGCTTGATTGTTTTTGTCATCAAATATGTCATAGTCTTAGATGGGAAGGAGGAAAGAAAAAATTGGAACATGTTAGTTTGATAATGGCTGTCTGGCTGACCATCAGCAGCAGAAGTTGCTGGGTATTTATTTCTGCAGAAATTGTGCAATTCTGCAAAAATAATTTTAGGAGTGTTCTCTGCATTTTTATCATAATAAATGATAGAAATGCCACATGCAGAGTACCAGCCTTTCTCTTCCTGGGTATCCTCGAGATTTTCCACCCCAGAATTTCCCAGGCAGCATCTCTTCGGGATAAGAGCGCTCAGGCTGTAGTTAGAGATTGTGGGTCCTCATGGAAGGAGAAAACAAGAGGAAAGAGAAATAGTTTATCTTTTCCTAACAATTCATTACACCAAGCATGTCTGCTCAGATTGTGAATGAGGCACGCAAGTGGAAGAAACCAGATGAATAGCAAATATATTGGGGGAGTTTGGGGCAGTGACAAAAGCAGTGTAAAATTTCAGATGCAAAGGCTACTCTGCCTTGCATGTGACCTTCATGGAGAAGAGCTGTAGGAATATTGAGTTGAGGAAAGGGATTGTGTTTTTGAGTACAGGATCTCCAGGTTCATTCGCAACTCCTGTTGTGATCTCCTTCGCTTGGAGGTTCCTCCTTGTTAGTCTTTGATGGCTGGGAGGTGTGAGCAGAACCAAGGGATTGATACTTTTGTGTTTCCCCCCTTGATAGGGAAATGTGACAAACAAAATTGTACAGTAGATGTTTCATTTCTAAAACAGCATTGCATAAGACTCCTGAATAGATTTGGGGGGGGGAAAAGGAGGGTGGGATGCGGGGAAGGGGTGGGGGGTGGGGGAAGGGAAAAAGGGTGGGGGGAATATTGGGGGAAAAATCTTTTTTTTTGTAAAACTTCAATAATAAAAAAAAAGTGCAGACTTAGTAAATAGTTTGACAGTGTTGAAGGAATTAAATACATGGCAGAGTGATGGCATTCAGTAAAAAACTGTTCTTGTTTTCTAGTTGTTCTGGTGTGCAGTGCTCTATAGCCTCATTTTGAGGGTAGGAGTTGAAACAGTTTAGGGGTCTGTAAATATTTTCACAGCCTCTTTTTGACTCGTGCAGTATGCAGGTCCTCAATGGAAGGCAGGTTGGTAGCAATTGTTTTTTCTGCAGTTCTAATTATCCTAGCAGACTCTCTGATTTCTTCCCCAAACCCCCAAAACTTTAACCTTAGACTGTCTACTGTTGACCTCACCCCATTGCTAAGGGGTCTGTAAGGCCTAAGCGCACCATCGTCCCTGTCCTCATGTCCCTTTTTACTCTTATTCTTTTCATGTATTCCAATTACGTTTATGCTTTTATATGTTTTCTTATATATGCTTTACAAATAAAATAAAATAAATGAAAAAATAAAATGTCATGAACTTTCAGGGCTCAGCACGTAGCTAATCTTCGTAAGCTTAGTGGTATCACATTTCACTCTTTTGTTTGGGTCAGTTGCCAGAAGTCAAAAATGACGGTAGCATTTAATCAGTGAAAACCTCTTGCAACCGCCTTAGATAAGAGGGGGGACAAGCGCGTTTTTCTGCCTGCCTGGAGATGGCGCTCAAACAGGCAACACCGGTGGCTAGAAAGCGGACAGTACAGCAGGCGGCGCCTGTGGTTGTGTTTAAGGAGTTAAAATCATCAAGTACTGCATTGCTAGAAAGGCTGGGAGGAGAGGAGACTCGCAGAGGAACTTCCTCTTCCGGATGGCTGATGGGAGGAAGGTGGTGTGTGCAGAGCGGCTTTTGTGCTGTTTCCATGGCGGAAGCAGCAGCTGCCAGGTGAGTGGAGGGCAGCAGGTGGGAGGAGAGTCCGGGAGCAACTTGGGCTGGAAGCGGAGAAGCAACTGGGCTGAAGCCTCTCAGCTGCGGCTGCTGCAGGTTCCTTCCCTCCCCAAATGGAAGCCCACTGGTGCTGCAGGCTGGGAAACTGGGGGCTGCAATTTCTGCTGGTGGGAAGCTTGAAAAAGCCTCCTTCCAATGCAGGTTGAGCCTTTGGGGCTGGTTTCCCTCCAGAGGGAGCTCCGTCACTGGAGGTTTGGAAGAGAGCTGGAAGAAACCTTGGAGGTCTTAATGACGTCTCAGACAAATGGCTGTCCCGTCGGTTTAAAAGCCACCAGCAATGGAGCCCCCACAACCTCTGGAGGGAAGCCATTCCCGAAGAATCAACCTTCACTCAAAAGGGACTTTTTCAATCTTCCAGGCAGCAGAAAATTGCAGCCATTCCCTTCCACTGGCTAATTGTTCTCACTGATGGGATTTTTCCTTAATTCCAGGTTTTTTCCTCTCCTTGATTAGTTTCCATGCATTGCTTCTTGTCTTGTCCTTCTGGTGCTTTGGAAAAGAAGTTGACCCTCCAAGTATTGGAACACTGCTATCATGTCACCCCTAGTCCTTCCTTTCACTAGACGATTCATTCCCAATTACTGCAACCCACTAATTATCCCTCCTGCTCTTCTCTGCGCTCTTTATAGAGTCTCCACGCCTTTTTTATATTGTGGTGATGAAAAGTGGTTGCAGTAATCCAAGTGTGATCTTAATTTAAAGCATTATAAATTGGTACTAATACTTCATGTGATCTCGATTCTATCCCTCTGTTTAGGCAGCCAGAGTTTTTCAGGCTTCTTGAGTTGTTTTCCCATTGATTGATTGATTGATTGATTGGTTCGATTCATATGCCGCCCTTCTCCGGAGACTCAGGGCAGTTTACAATGCGTTAAACAATAGCCTTCATACTTTTGTATATATAGGGCTTTGGGCCCCCCCAAGCGGTGTTCTTTTTTATACAAAGTCAACTTATTGCTCCCACAATCCAGGTCCTCATTTTACTTACCTCGAAAGGATGGAAGGCTGAGTCAACCTTGAGCCTGGTGAGATTTGAATTTTCAGTAATTGCAGGCAGCTGGTGCCACTTAACAGCACTTTAGTCTGCTGCGCCACCAAGGCTCTTGTATAAGATTTTCATCCATGGAATCCTTCCCAAGCTGTCTCTTGGTTTGTTGAAATCAGCTGCTTTAAAGTCTAAGACATTAGTTTGATTTTGCTCTATTGCTTGTGTCTGCATTATATTGAATTCCAGCATGACATGGTCACTCTTCCCCCAATTTACCTGCAACTTCAACCCCCCCCCCCTATAATTTTCTCTCTGCTAGTAAAAATTTAGATCACTATAGGAGATCCTTAATTCCCTTTTCTATCTTTTGGATGACAAGTTGTCATTTAGATTCATGAGGAACCTTTTAAGATGGGTGTCAAACCTGTGGCCCATGGGCTGGATGCGTGACATGCCAGCCACACCCACCCCAGCTCCACAAATGGGTAGAATGTCACGTGACGGCAACATGACATGGCAAGTTTGACACCTGTGCTTTAAGACAAGATTGGCCAGCAAGGTGGATAAAAATCAATGATTTTTTTAAAAAAATCAAAACAAACAGATTTTTTTAATTTAAATCGGATTTTTTTGATTTAAATCGGATTTTTTTGATTTTTATCAAATTTATTTTAATAAAAAACTTTTGCGGTAAAAATCTATCGTAAGATAGTTTTCTATTTAAAATACATAAATAGTTTATTCAGCATGAAATGGAGCTTAGTTATGTAGCATGAGGCTGTATATTCTGCAACACTGGGACTATCGGTGGGTCAACAGTGGGACAAAGGAGTAGCAGAGATGACAGTTGCTCTTTAAAAATTATGATTTAAATCGAGTTGATTTAAATCAAGCCTTTTTACTAGTGATTTAAATCAACTTGATTTAAATGAAATCCACCCTGTTGGCCAGCCATTTGTCTGGAATGTTATAGGGTATCCTGCCTGAGAAGGAGATTGAACTAGAAGACCTCCAAGGTCCCTTCCAACTCATAACCTATTCTCTCTTTTTTTGTAAATATTTTTTATTTATTTTTACCAAATTTAAACATAAAACATAACTTTCAACAGCAAAAATCTTGATCCGGTCATAGATGGTTACCACGCTTACATTCCTTTCACAAGCTCAATTCACAATTTCCATTACAAAAAACAAAACAAAAAACAAAAAAGAGAAGAACAGAAGATAAAAAAGAAATTCAAAACTTAAAAAAAAACAATTTTAACTCAAATTTCACATTTTCATCTATATAAATCCATTATATCTATCCAAAATTAATTTCAAATTCACTTTCACTCATTTTTACATCTGCATAACAATTCTAAACATATCTTTATTCTTCTTTACTTTATATCTTATACAAGTCATATCAAAATAATTTTTACAATATTCTAACCACTTGTTAAGTGTTTACCTTACAATTTTATCACCATTTATTCTTAATTTCAATTCAATACCACTCCGTTTTTATTATATTTTATAAAACAACATTTTGTCTAATTTTAATCCTTTGACCCTTATCCTCAAATCAGTTTACCTTAGTTTTTTTTTGTCCCAGTTTACATATTACACAGATTGCTCACAAAGACATATTTTATTTACTCCAATTTCTAATATATTTTCCACTATATCTCCCTCTAATATTTAACTATCTGCCAGCTTATTCTATTTGATTAATTCTCAGCTTGATCCCCTCCAAAACACCAACTATTTAGTTAATTTCAGAATAGTTCCTCAATCTCCTCCAACTCTCCTCCAACTCTCCTCCTATTTGTTTGGCTGTTTCCAGCATTTTGTGGGCTGATTTCCAGCATAGTCTCCTCCTTAACTCCCTCCATTGTTTGGCTGATTTCCAGCATAGTCTCCTCCAACTTTCCTCCTATTTGTTTGGCTGTTTCCAGCATTTTATGGGCTGATTTCCAGCATAATCTCCTCCTTAACTCCCTCCATTGTTTGGCTGATTTCCAGCATAATCTCCTCTAATCTCCCTCCATTGTTTCGCTGGTATCCAGCATAATTCCCTCCAGCACTCCTCCTATTTGTTTAGCTGATTTCCAGCACTTCTAATTAATTTCCAACATATTTCCACCGAGTCTCAAACTCTTATCTAGTTGGTATCCATCCCACACATTTTAACTGTAATATAATTATCTGTTTTATATCATTTTTCCATCCTACTCTTTCAATTTAAATCTCAGTATATTTCATAATAGTCATCATTTCCAACATGTATTACCTTAATTCAAGACTAACCACTAGCATCTGTGTATCTTGTATTTTATTCAATCAATCCTTATTCATCAGTTTAACATTTGTTTGCAAATTAAAATTAAAACATATTACATCAAACAGTACATTTTCTTAAAATTTTCCTGCCTCAAAATATATTCTTCTTTATTATTTTTATCCCCTTGATATCATCCACTATTTTAATAGCCACCTCTTATTTTCTATTTTTATTATTTCACAACCCTTCCTGTTTTTTTTATCCATATATTATATATACCTAGGCTTTTAAACTTCATCATATATACATAGGCTTTTAAACTTTACATTTCAGTTAGTCACATTTAAATTTATCCACTTTAATTCTTCCTTTTCTTCCTTTTCCTCTCTGTCCAAAGTGCTCTATTTCAAGGTTCATCAGTTCAAAGTAAAGAATTTCTGTATGTCCCTTTAAAACTTTTAAAATGTCTGTTCCAAGCGTAGTGCATCAGCTTCATGTCTTTGTTAACTACGCCACACCTAGCTTTTGTTTACAGTTTTGTCAGTCTCCATTGTTAAAATCCAAAATGTTCTTTCTTTCTTCTTTCTTCTTTCTTAAGATCATCTGGGACAGAGTAGGAATCTCCAAAATCCTTATATCCAATATTAATTTCAAGTAATCCAAGGTAAAAAGCCAATTAACATGTTTTTTTTCCACCCAGAAAGGGAAATCTCTTCAATCCACTTCCCTGCTTAGTCACTGCAGACTCCATGGCTATTTTGTAGCCATCCATCTGTCTATCTTCATTAGCTTCATTTTCTTTTAGAGGCATTAATTCTCAGGAATATCCATTTCTCCTATCCACTCCAGTTAAAGGCACAGTCAAATTTCAGAACTTTATTAATGCCAAATCATCCAATTTAAGTTTACTGCAACAAAATTCAATTTGGGTCTTTTACCCATTTTTTTTTCTTATCAATCTTTAAGCCCCGCAGTCCAGCAGCCACTTTTAAATTTGGGGTCTTATTTTCCAATAATTCCAGATAGGTACGTTATATTGCCTGGGTTGGTGTCACTCACCCGGCTTCTTGATCTTTGCTCTTTCTTCATCTTCTTCCTCCAGCACAATCCTTGTTCCCGATTGCCACGGTTTCAGGGCAGCCGCCATGGCTGCCGTTCCGCTGCCACCGACATGAAGGAGAAGCCTCCAGCCCTGAGGAACTTGCCCGTTCCTCTCGGCCGCCCAAGGCGTTCCTTCTTGTCCCCCTGCCCCTACAAGACAGGAGAGGTCCGCAGACCTATCGGCGGCAGCTTAGCAGAGGGGATTTGGCAGGGCTCAGCGGAGCTCGCCATTTCCCCGTCTGTTTCCCCGCGGCGCCAACTGGAAGTCCGCCAACTCATAACCTATTCTCTTATGGGCTTGCTATTCTCTTGGCAACCAAATTGCATGGATTCTGCCACTAGTCTTTTTCTAGGGTTTATGTTTTTTAACTTCCAGGTCTTGCCAAAAGCATGTTATTTCCTATTGGTGCCGCATCCGGGTATTAACCAGGTTCAACTCTACTGACCGTATTTTTCAGACTATAAGACTCACCTGACTAGAAGGCACATCTAAATTTAGAAGAAGAAAAAAACAAAAAAAAAGGTTTTGGCCGACCTTTTTTGGGGCCTTTTCCAGTCTTTTTTCGGCCTGTTTCTGGGGCTATTTTCGGCCCATTTTTAGGTGCTTTTTTCAGCTCGTCTTTGAGGCTTTTTTCGACTTGTTTCTGGGGCTTTTTTCCCCATTTTTGAGGCTCCCCCTCCCCCGTTTTTCAGGCTTTTAGGGGGCTGTTTTTGAGGCTTTTTGGCCCATTTTTGAGGTTTTTGGGGGGCATTGTTGAGGCTATTTTTGGCCTGCTTTTGGGGGGCTGTTTTGACGCTTTTTTGGTCAATTTTTGAGGCTTTTGGGGGCCATTTTTGAGGCTTTTGTGTCCCGATTTTGAGGCTTTTTTTTTGGCCTGTTTTTCCGAAAAAACGTTCCTGTGGTTTTGAAGGTGCAGGAAAAGGAGAGAAACCAACTTGGGTTCTGCCAACCGTTGCACATTTTTGATGGCTGCAGCATCCCACACTCAGGATCCCCATTTGTGATCTTCTCAGCTAGATTCTGAAGCAAAATTAGTAGGGATGCCAGCAGGAAATTGCAAGTCGCAGTTTGTGGAACAGATGCAAGTTGGCACTGTCATGTGACATCATGCTTCATGACCGGCTGCTTAGTGACACAGAAGCCAGTCCCAACTGCACTCAGTAAGTCAGGATTGCTTGAATTGGGATGTCACCAGAAGGGGTTGTAGACAGCATTTTCTTCTCTTATTTGCAGCTGAGGACTTTCATGAGCAAAACTGGTGCTTCAAATCTTGCAGAGGCTGTTGGCATCATTTCCTCAGTTCAAACGCCACATCTCTAAATTTAGCTCACAAGGTTTGACATTAACTATTTTGGGACATTTTGTCAGGCTGAAAACTCATGGAGCTTCCACATATATTCATTTGTAGGTGTTTGTATCTGTATTTCTTTCTATATGCATATATCTGCAATTATATAATCTATCCTCAGTACATAAAGATATATTTGAGGATAACCCTTTTCAGTGCCAAGAATTTATGATTGACCCAAGTCAACAACATAATTTCATGGTTGAATAGATATCTTGGTACTCTTCCATGTGTCAAATGAATCATAATTAATGTAAGAGACTATTCTAGCATTGTGGAATGTTTGCTTTTTTGTTGTAATGTATACTTTACTGGTTACACAATTAAAGTTACACTTTTCTTTAAAACTTATAGACAAAGAGGATGGCAATAAGAGCACTCTGGACAACTGAGAATAACAAGCAACGTTGAAAAGGAAATAAAATTGAGCCAGAAATCAAAATATATTCCATTTCCTTCAGAAAACCACACAATTCTCCTTCTCCAGCAGCTAATAGACAACAGAGAGAAAATTAACATGAGATTTTGAGCTGGAAAAAGTAGAGGATACGAAACTCAAGGATACATTGCATGAAAGATCAAGGAAGATTATTTTTCATTCAGAAAAAGATGGAAATATCTGGAAGTTAGGGGGAAGGAAAAGGTCTTATTGAGCAGGGCACATAGGACAGACAATGATACAGGCCTTGCTCTGGGAAGAAGCAAATGGTTTTAATCAAAACACTACTAAACAATAGATCACACATATTTTTGACCTCAACAATATCAGTTGTGGAAAATCTCCATAGATTTGCTTATCTTATAGATCTGCCATACAAATTATCTGAATATGCCAAAAAGTTTGGTCAGAACAGCTTCCTTGTGGTTCATGGAACGACTCACACAGGAGAGAAGCCATATGAGTGCTCCCGATGTGAATACTTTACTAAGCATGGCAATATGGTAATACATCACAGGACACCCATCACATAAGAGTGTCCAAATTGTGTGAAAGTTTCATTGGAAATTACCATCTCATGAGACCACAAAGGACTCAGACAGGAGAGAAACCATTTGAATGTCCCGATTGTGGGAAAAGTTTCAGTCACATTTCCAGCTTGGTGGCACACCAGAAAACTCACACAGGAGAGAAACCATTTGAATGTCCTGATTGTGGGAAAAGTTTCAGTCAGAATTGCAGCCTGGTGACACACCAGAGGACTCACACAGGAGAGAAACCATTTGAATGTTCTGATTGTGGGAAACGTTTCAGTCGCAATTCCAGCCTGGTGACACACCAGAGGACTCACACAGGAGAGAAACCATTTGAATGTCCTGATTGTGGGAAACGTTTCAGTCGCAATTCCAGCCTGGTGATACACCAGTGCACTCACAAAGAAGAGCAACCATTTGAATGTCCTGATTGTGGGAACAGTTTCTGTAACAATTCCGGCCTGGTGATACACCAAAGGACTCACACAAGAGAGAAACCATTTGAATGTCCTGATTGTGGGAAAAGTTTCAGTCGCAATTCCCACCTGGTGACACACCAGCGGACTCATACAGGAGAGAAACCATTTGAATGTCCTGATTGTGGGAAAAGTTTCAGTCGCAATTTCAACCTGGTGACACACCAGAGGACTCATACAGGAGAGAAACCATTTGAATGTCCAGATTGTGGGAAAAGTTTCAGTCACAATTCCAGGCTGGTGACACACCAGAGGACTCACACAGGAGAGAAACCATTTGAATGTCCTGACTGTGGGAAAGGTTTCAGTCGCAATTCCAGCCTGGTGATACACCAGTGGACTCACACAGAAGAGCAACCATTTGAATGTCCTGATTGTGGGAACGGTTTCTGTAACAATTCCAGCCTGGTGATACATCAAAGGACTCACACAGGAGAGAAACCATTTGAATGTCCTGATTGTGGGAAAAGTTTCAGTCAAAATTCCCACCTGGTGACACATCAGAGGACTCACACAGGAGAGAAACCATTTGAATGTCCTGATTGTGGGAAAAGTTTCAGTCAGAATTCCAGCCTGGTGACACACCAGAGGACTCACACAGGAGAGAAACCATTTGAATGTCCTGATTGTGGGAAAGGTTTCAGTAGCAATTCCAGCCTGGTGACACACCAGAAGACTCACACAGGAGAGAAACCATTTGAATGTCCTGATTGTGGGAAAAGTTTCAGTCACAATTACAGCCTGGTGATACACCAGAGGACTCACACAGGAGAGAAACCATTTGAATGTCCAGATTGTGGGAAAAGTTTCAGTTACAATTCCAGCCTGTTGAAACACCAGAGGACTCACACAGGAGAGAAACCATTTGAATGTTCTGATTGTGGTAAATGTTTCAGTCAGAATTCCCACCTATTGACACACCAGAGGACTCACACAGGAGAGAAACCATTTGAATGTCCTGATTGTGGGAAAAGGTTCAGTAACAATTCCAGCCTGGTGACACACCAGAAGACTCACACAGGAGAGAAACCATTTGAATGTTCTGATTGTGGGAAAAGTTTCAGTCACAATTCCATCCTGGTGACACACCAGAGGACTCACACAAGAGAAAAACCATTTGAATGTCCAGATTGTGGGAAAAGTTTCAGTCACAATTCCAGCCTGGTGAAACACCAGAAGACTCACACAGGAGAGAAACCATTTGAATGTCCTGATTGTGGGAAAAGTTTCAGTCAGAATTCCCACCTGGTGACACACCAGAGGACTCACACAGGAGAGAAACCATTTGAATGTCCTGATTGTGGGAAAAGGTTCAGTCAGAATTCCCACCTGGTGACACACCAGAGGTCTCACACAGGAGAGAAACCATTTGAATGTCCAGATTGTGGGAAAAGTTTCAGTTACAATTCCAGCCTGGTGAAACACCAGAGGACTCACACAGGAGAGAAACCATTTGAATGTTCTGATTGTGGTAAATGTTTCAGTCAGAATTCCCACCTATTGACACACCAGAGGACTCACACAGGAGAGAAACCATTTGAATGTCCTGATTGTGGGAAAAGGTTCAGTAACAATTCCAGCCTGGTGACACACCAGAAGACTCACACAGGAGAGAAACCATTTGAATGTCCTGATTGTGGGAAAAGGTTCAGTCAGAATTCCCACCTGGTGACACACCAGAGGTCTCACACATGAGAGAAACCATTTGAATGTCCTGATTGTGGGAAAAGGTTCAGTAACAATTCCCACCTGGTGAAACATCGGAACACTCACACAGGACAGAAACCATACGAGTGCCCAGATTGTGGGAAAGGTTTCAGTACTAAGACTAGCCTTTTAAATCACGTGCTTATACACACGGGAGAAACCATTTAAGTGCCCCAAGAGTGGACGGTGCTTCAGGAAACATTCCACCCATATTGCACACAAGAAAATGCACATGGATTTTCCAAAGTGATGAGTGATGACCTAAAGCAGTGGTTCCCAAAGTGGGCGGTACCAAAGTGGGGGGCGGTGGGATGATTTAGGGGGGCAGTAAGAGGCATGGGGGGCAGCAGGGTAGTGCTAGAGGCAAAAGGGCGGCAGGGGGCGCTAAGTGGCGAGGGTGGCAGAGGGTGCCCCCCCCTTTGGCCTGTGCTTCGCAGCAGTTACCTCCTTGCAATCAAACAGCAAGAAAAAACAGCTCCTTTCAGCTTCCGCATAGGCTAATTAGCACAAGTTGATTAGATTGGCCTCCCGACTCTCTCAGTTTTTTTGCGCAGGGCTCTGCTGCTTGCTGCTTTTCCTCCCTTTCTCCCATTTCTTTACCTTCTTATTTTTCCTGTTCTTATATCTCCCCTTTAGCCTTTTTCCTTTAAATTTAACTCTATTACTTTTCATTCTCAATCTTACCCCATTTATTTCTCTTTTCTTGATATTTGAGATATATTTTCCCATATCCATTTTTATTCTATTACTATTGAACCCAGTGTAATCATCTTTCTTTTTCCCCCAATTATTTCCTTTTCCATATTATCTCCTTGTTTCTCTTGCTTCTCATTCATCTTTTCTCTTTCTTTTTTTTGCAAGCTAACCAATTCTCTGCTTCTTTATTTCCCTTAAATGCCTCCCTTACTTTTTGAAACATCTCCCTTAGTGTCTCATATTCATCCTCCCAATTCTCCATATTTTCAATTTTAAAAGGCTAGGATTTTTAAGTTTATTCTTTTCATTTACATATGCTTTTCAAGGAGCCACAAGGGGGGGCTGAGAGTAGAGTTATTCTGACAGTGTCTTCTAAAATTGCTTGGAAGACCCATTTTTCCCTAACAATAATGGTTTGTATACTTTGGAATAAAACGTATACCTGGAAAAAGTACTTGCAAAACTTGGACAGAAGGAAAAGAAAGGCAGGACTGGACTCATTATCAGTAGCTAGTAGTTCATTGTTATCAGTGACTCCCACTGATTCTAAACTCATTTTAAGACTGGGATTGGTGACTACTGAAATATTCAACATTGGTCTCAGAAATCTTTGATTTGAACTATCAAATCTCTGATTTAAACTATCAAATCTCTGATTTGAACTTTGATTTTAACTATCAAATCTTTGATTTGAACTCTGATTTGAACTATGCCAAGAAAAATCATAAATGGGGCAAAACTCACTTAACCATAATAATTTCTGGATATTTTAAATATAGAGAATTCAAGTGTTGAGAATGACCCATTATTTCATCTCTTTTTTCGCACTAGGTACCACTATTTGATTTCTTTTCCTTTTATTCAAATAACAACAAAACCCAATACAGTTCAGTATGAATTGGCTTTCCAGTCCTTCCTTGATGCACTTTTTCACATTGGTTATCTAGTTTAAATGCCAAAGGAAAATCAATGATATATTTTTCACACCTTTGGAGGATCACACTGTCAATTGTTCACACTGCTCAAGCAAAACTAACAGGTGTGAATTAAGTTTTAGCTAAAAAATGGAGCTTTAATTCCAGGAGTCCATTCTTTAAACTTGGACTTCTGGAATTCAGAGGCTCTGGATTAAATGGTACTCCAGACAAAAGATGGAGAAGAGTATCTTGCTTTTAGACATGATAATAGCTGTCTAGAAAGGTGAGTTATGAGCTATTTTTACATCATCAGAAATTTAATTTATTACCTGTTAAAAATGCAAAGACAAGGAGTACAAGGAGCAAATAAAAGACCTTCATGTTGGGGTTGGTTCTGGATCAAATCTTACTTGTGGGGCGGAAACCAGCTCTCAGCCCTCCTTGTGACTTCTTGAAAAGCATCCCCCCCCCACGCTCCACCGCCTGAGGAGGCAGGGGAGGGCTGCAGGTTGATCCCAAGGGGGTCTGGGAATGGGTGTGAATTCATCCCACAGCCCTCTCCATCCCCTCCTCTGTGAAATTGCTTTCTCCCACTCACTGGTGGTCAGCAATTTCAAAAGGAACCCCCAGCTGAGAATCACTGCTCTAGATTGGTTGATTCAGGGGATTTCTCTAGCGTTAACTAATAGTGTTAGCTATCTTTGTTACAGGGATAAATTTGTATTGGAGCAGCCTGCGGACCTCCCAAAGGGTCTCTGCCCACCCTGTTTTTGCAAAAAAAACGGGCCAGTTTTTTTCACAAATATTTTCACAAAAATGGGACGTGCGGGGCAAGGCTTCAGGAGGCCAAATATGGCTGTATTCTGTGTATTTTATTGTTACTATCTTCCTTAGTGGGTCGTGCAAACTGCTATTCCGAACAATGCTATTTATAGGGGGTGGGGCAGTGGTGGGATTCAATTTTTTTAACAACCGGTTCTGTGGGTGTGGCTTAGTTGGTGGTGTGGCCTGGTGGTCATTTGACCGGGTGGGCGTGGCTAACTGGTCATGTGACCGGGTGGGCGTGGCTATCTGCATAGGGACTACTCAAAGGGCTGAAAAAATTAATTTCTGACTGGTCCTCGCACTTTTGACTGGTCTTCGCACTTATTTCTAGTCATCATTTATGCCCATTGTAGCATTCTTAACAACCGTATCATTCATTTCACAACTGCTTCTCTTCACCATGGTGACAAGATAGGGCAAAAACATAAAATGTGAGGACAGTCGTAAGTTCGAGGACTGGTCAAAAGTGGGAGGACCAGTCAAAAATAACTTTTTCAGCCCTCTGAGTAGTCCATATGCATAAAAGGATACAGCAATAGAGAGGGATGAAGGAAGAGAAGGGAAATTGGAGTAGGAGTGAGGGTAAGAGAGGGAGGAAGAGAGGAGGAGAAGGAAAAAGGAAGAGGAAGTAGGAGAAGAAGAGGGGGGAAGAGAAAGTAAGAAGGAAAGAAAAGAGAGAGGTGGTAGGTTTGAGGAGAAAGATTGCTGTACAATAAAAAAGATGAAAGGGAAGAAAGCCAACCCCAAACAAATATAAAGATATTAAGATATTAAAATAAAGAATGAATTGTTAAACTTTAAAGATTAAAAGAGAACAAATATGAATAAATAGCAATAATTAGAAACACACATACAAACATATAATGTATTTTCTTTGAACAGAGTATTTGGCCGGTTCACAAATTTAAACAGTGTTTAGTCATTTCAATTAAATTTACAATTTCTATATTTCCTTTTTGCCATATTTATTCCTCATTTATTTTTAAAAAAACCAATATTACCCTTCATCCTCCTCTCTAATCTTTTTTTTTTTTGAAAAAGTTTTACAAATACAAATTTTCCCCCTTCCCCCCCTTTCCCTCCCTAACCCTCCCTTACCCTCCCCTCCCCCCATGGCTTCCCCAGGATGAAATCCAAATCCAAATCACATTATATAATACTTTGCCGCCCATCTACTCTACCCCCTGTGTAGTATACATTTCTTCCTGACATTCTAGTATTCTATCCCCTATATACTATACATTTCTACACAACATTCAACTAAAAGTTATCTGATACTTCCTAGTTTAATATTTATTCTGCACATAATCTATCCATTTCCTCTACTCCCGTGCATAGATTTCTTGGGTCCAGTCTTTTATGTATGCTGATATCCTCGCCATATCTGCAAAACTGGTCACCTTCAGAGTCCATTCTTCTATAATAAACATAACATCCCTTTTCCAATATTGAACAATCAGTAACCTAGCCTATCACCATATACCATATCAATTTTGTTTCATCCACTTCCCCGCAGGTCCACCATATATAATAATTTATAGCATCTAAACAATTACATCAAATCCTTCTTCCAACAGTGTATTTAATTAGTCTTTAGTTGCCATCTGCCCCCATCATTGAAGAGTACTTCTATATATAACCCCCCCCGAGTGACTTTATATTTATATTTATATTCCGTATGATATCTTCTGTAAAGTCTTTCATCTAGATTATTAGTTCCATTGACCATGTTAGGGTAACAACCAGATCAACTGCAAGTGCCCTTATTCCATAATCCTCTTGCCTCATAGCTATTCCCTTCAACGTACACATAATCGATCTTTCTTAAAGTCTGTAATAGAAAGTTCCAATTCACTCGATTACAGGCCTTCTCCGCATCCTAAAACACCAGCACTGCAGGGATCTGTTTATTCTTCTCAAGATAGTCCAATAAATCTATAATTTGCCTCACATTATCTTTCATATATCTGTCTTCTATAAATCCTGCTTAATCATGAATCAGCTCTTAGATAACTGGCAATAATCTGTTGGCTAATAGTTTTGCAAAAAATTTATAATCCATATTCAAAAGAGATATTGGTCTAAATTTTTTTAGTTTTGTAGAACCTGCTTCTTTTCTTGCCTTGTGCTGGCTTAGACCTCTGCTGTTGTTGTTTTTCTGGAATTCGTTTGTAGGCTGATCGGGTTATACGCTGATCTTTAACTTTATAGGACATCAGATCAAGATCCAAAGCCACTTCTCTTGTATTTTTAGGTGGTTCACCTTTAACCTTTAAAGGAAGATCCGGGAACGGCTCATCCAAAAAGCCCCCTGTAGATCCTTGTATTTCCATTGGCTCCATCTCCATCTGCTTCCACTGGACTTCAATCTCTTGTTCAGTTTGCTTTTCTTTATCACCCTCCTGTATTAACACTGAAGATGTACGTGGAAATGCTGGACCAGTTTTAAAAACATTGAGATAAAATTCTTCCGCTTTTTAAACAGTATTTAATCGATATCTTTCTCCTTGATACCTCAATATTATACCAACTGGAGCATCCCATCTAAATGGAATTTGTTGTTTCTTTAGTTCAGTCACCAAAAATCCAAAATCCTTTCTATCTTTTAGCATCTTAGGCGGCAGCTCTTTATAAATCCCAATCTCCCTTCCATCCACTTGTAAGATGGAAACAAAAGACTTTTGCAAGATGTCATTTCTTATTCTTCTGTCTGTAAAGTATATCACTACATCTCTGGGCAATTGCCTTTGCCTTGCCACCCAAGAATTCACTCTGTAAATCTTGTCAATCTTGGACAGGACCTCTTCAGAGCTAACCTTTAGCATCTCAGCCAAAGCATCAGCACAAATCCTTCTCAAATCTCTGTTGTTTTCCTTTATCCCCCTCAGTCTT